GCATCCCAAAACCAGCCCAGCTCGTCCCCGCCTCCCTAACCTGTCCTTCCTCCCACCTATCCCTTCCTCCCACCCCCATCTCCTTCCTACTAACCTCATCTCGCCCCCTTGACCTGTCCATCCTCCCTGGACTGACCTATCCCCTCCCTACCTCCCCACCTACACTCACCTCTACTGGCTCCATCCCCGCCTCTTTGACCTGTCTGTTTCCTCTCCACCTATCTTCTCCTCTACCCATCTTCTATCCACCTCCCCCTCTCTCCCTATTTATTTCAGAACCCCCTTCCCCTCCCCCATTTCTGAAGAAGGGTCTTGGCCCGAAACGTCAGCCTTCCTGCTCCTATGATGCTGCTTGGCCTGCTGTGTTCATCCAGCTCTGCACCTTGTTATCTCTACCATTTGATTATGTTGGCTATCTCCCCAAGGAAGCGAGAATATAGACGGGGTCAATAGATGAAAGATTGACTTGCATGATGGACTGGGCTGTGTTCACAATTCTCTAACTTCGTACAGTCCTGGGCAGAGCAATTGCCATACCAAGCCATGATGCATTGGGTAGAATGCTTTCTCATTTGTAATCTAATAAATATTGGTAACAGTCTTTGTCGATGTTACAGAATTTCCTTAGCCTCCTGAGGAAGTAGAGGCACTGTTGTGGGCTCTTGAATGTTGCATCAATGTGAATGGACCAGGACAGATTGTTGGTGATCATCACTCCCAGGAGATTGTCACTCTGGACCATCTCCACCTCAGCGCCATTGATGTAGGCAGGGATGTGCCCTCCACCTTGCTTCCTGAAGTCATTGACCAACTCTTTCTTGCTAATGTTGAGGGAGAAATTGCTATCTTTACACCATGCCACTAAGCACGCTCTCCCTTTCCTGTATTCTGTCTTGTCATTGTTTTGAGATCAAGCCTACAATGGTGGCATGGTCAGCGAAGTTGTAGATGGAATTAGGACGAAATTTGGTCATACAGTCATGAGTGTATAGGGAGTATAGTAAGGGGCTGAGTACACAGCCTTGCTGGGTTGTGGTGTTGAGGATCATTGTGGAGGAGGTGCTGACATCCATCTCACAGACTGCAGTCTGTGGATCAGGAAGTCAAGGATCCAGTTGCAGAGAGCAAAACAGAGACCTTGGTCTCGGAGTTTAGAGATTAGTTTGATTGGAATTATAGTGTTGAAGGCGGAGCTGTAGTCAATAATTAGGAGCCTGACGTAGGTATCCTTGTTATCCAGATGTTCCAGGGATGACTGTAGGGCCGGGGACATGGCATCTGCCTTGGACATGTTGCAACAGTGGGCGAGTTGCAAAGGGATCAAGGCATGCTGGGAGGCTACAGCTGTAAGGCATGACTAACCTCCTGAAGCACTTCATAATAATGGAGGTCAGAGCCACTAGGCGGTAGTCATTGAGGCACACTGCATGAGTTTTCTTTAGTACCGTGAAGATGGTGGTCTTCTTCAAGCAAATGGACACTTCAGATCATCGTAAGGAGGTTATGATTAATTTGATTATGTGTAGACTATAGGAAAATGAATGCAGTAACAAAGACAATTCACATCTTATTCCCAGCCTGGAGAATTGCATTGATAGGGTTGGAAGTACACTATTCTTTATCACAATTGATTTGTTAAAACGACATTGGCAAGCACCACTCACAACGCGAGCTAAGGAAATTTCCACATTTGTCACACTTGGATTGTGCCAACATCATATTATGCCATTTGGTTTTAAGGCAACCCCAGCCACATTTCGATGAAGGAAAAGAAAGTGTTGGTAGTATTAACAATTCTTCAAAGATGCGGTGTTTATGTCCAATATGAAAACAATTAGACTGCGAGTTTTGCCACTCACTTTCTATCAAATTTCACGGATATGGTTAAAAATAAAATTTTATGATTGTTCAGAAGAAGCTTGGATCTTCAGCCATTTAACATAACAATTGTACATATTTTCCAGAAAGAAAATATAATTGCTGATGCTGTATCCCAAAAGTTATCTGTCATCAATTTAAGAACATGACCAAGAAAGTTGAATAATGTAAACAAATCTGGTGGAAGAACGACTCACTCTGAATTGTGTTTTGTTTGTCATCTACAAGTTACTAACTTTGTCATGGAAGTCACCTTCCATAAAAATGGTATTTCATGTTTTTGAGGATGGCAGCTTACCAGAACGCTCACTGATTTTTCATTATTTTTATTTTATTCTTTTCATCAATTTTTCATTAGGAGTTGGAAATGTTGGATGGACTTTGGGATAGCTTGGATTAAAAGGAAAAGAACAGACCAAAAAGAGGATTGATCAAGGCAGACTAGTGGACGTGATCTATATGGACTTTAGTAAGGCGTGCGACAAGGTTCCTCATGGCAGACTGTTCAGCAAGGTCAGATCACATGGAATACAGCGAGAACTAGCCATTTGCATACAGAACTGGCTCAAAGAAAGAAGACAGAGGGTGATGGTGGAAGGTTGCTTTTCAGACTGGAGGCCTGTGACCAGCGGTGTGCCACAAGGATCAGTCCTGGGTCCACTGCTTTTCGTCATGTATATAAATGACTTGGATGTGAACATAGGAAGTATGGTTGGGAAGTTTGAAGATGACACCCAAATTGGAGGTGGAGTGGACAGCAAAGAAAGTTACTTCAGAGTACAACGGGATCTTTATCAGATTGGCCAATGGTCTGAGGGGTTTAATTTAGATAAACGTGAGGTGCTGCGTTTTGGGAAGGCAAATCAGAGCAGAACTTAATACACTTAATGGTAAGGTCCTGGGGAGCGTTGCCGAAGAAAGAGACCTTGACATTGGAATCACAGGTAGACAGAGTAGTGAAGAAGGCATTTGGCACGCTTGCCTTTATTGGTCAGTGCATTGAGTATAGGAGTTGGGATGTCATGTTGCGGCTGTACAGAAGAGTGGTTAGACCACTTTTGGGATACAGTGTTCAGTTCTGGTCTCCCTGCTATATGAAAGATGTTGTGAAACTTGAAAGGTTGCAGAAAAGATATGCCATGGTTGCAGGGTTCAACTTATAGGGAGAGGCTGAATCAGCTGGGGCTGTTTACCCTACAACAGAGGCTGAGGGATGACCTTATTGAGGTTTATAAAATCATGAGGGGCATGACTAAGGTGAACTGTCGAAGTCTTTTCCCCAGAGTAGTGGAGTCTTAAACCAGAGGGCATAGGTTTAAGGTGAGGGGAAAAGATTTAAAAAGGGACCTGAGGGGCAACTCTGGAGGGAAAGCAACAAAAGTTTGCCAGACTGATTCCACGGATGGCACGACTGGCATATGAAGAAAGACCAGATCGGTTACAACTATACTAATTGTAATGTTGAAGAATAAGGGGCATTTCACAGAAACCTGTAAAATTCAACAGGATTCCTGGGATGCAAAGGCTACCCTATGTAGAAAGACTGAGTACAATAGGCCGCTATTTTTGGTAGTTTAAAAGAATGGAAGGTGACCTAATTGAAATGTATAAAAATGCCACAGGGTAGAGAGGTTACTCCCCTCCAGCCCTCCACAACTACCTACCAATGGGTCAGGAATCTATAACAAAGGTAACATTCTCAGGATAACAGACTGAGATGAGGAAACAATATGTTAATATGGACAGTTAAGAACCTGTGGACCTCTCTAGCTCAGAGAGTTGTGGCTGTCCACTGAGTGAGTAAATAGAAGATTTTGGATGATGGACTTTGAGCACCCAAGTGATCAGGATATGTTGGGAGCAGACAGGAAAATTAAGTTGAAGGGTATCACGATGTGTAATTGTAGGGGCAATATGCATGGAGGTATTGGGAAATGAATATGTACACAGGTGACGGGATATGTACTTGAAGAGGCAAAGTATGATCAATTGGACATGTATCAAAAATTTACAGGACTATGGAGCTGACGTAGTGGAGTGTGACTAATTGAATACAGCGTGCAAAGAGTTGGCAGAGGGACAGGCTATTCAGGTTTTCTTCTGCGCTGTATGTTTCTGGGATTCTAAATCAAAGTATCCCATTTCATTTTTAAAGAGAAAGCAGTGGGAAGGATTAAGCCGTCTGTGAAATAAGATGCTGGATCTTATACTGATATATACGCCCGCATCTGCCAACTGGCTAGGGAACAGGGAAGTGAGTTCATGGGACAGCACGTGTGGGTTTGCAGTTCCGACTCTGTTCAATGGTCGGAAAGGTTTTCCGGGTCAGAGTGCACCAAGCCCATCAGCGACCAATCACTGCGAACTAAACTTAAAAAAAGGAAGAATTCAAATATTCCCGCCTTTCAGCAAAACCTTTCGGAGTCTGGCAGCTGAAGCTTCCTCCGGTCCATTTCTTTTTGTAAGTCACTAAAATATTGTGTTTGTCTTTGAATTTTGGAGTCTGGCTCTCAGAGACGTAGAAGGAATTAATGTTGCCTTGGCTTTTGGTTAATGATAAAATGCAGGGATAGGGTCTACACTGGTGGTAGACCTTTGGGAGTAAAGGTTAAACAAGGCCAAAATCACTGAGAAGGAGAGGGACGAGTTAAAAACAAAAACAAATGCACTTAGCAGTTGGCTCAGGCCCAGTATATCCTGTGGAGCTCACCACCGCCCAGATGAGTCACAGCAAACACATGGGCAATTGCTGTCTCTGGGTTTCGAAATGTACTTTCTGATATGGCTGTTACAATCAATAAGACAGACGTCAAAAGGAATAAATTGAGGATATTTTGCACGGTCTAATTGTAAGATCAGTTGAGGCATCACTAGCAAGTTCAGCATTTACTGCTCAATCTTATGCCTCTGAGATGGAACTGAGGGTCTTCCTAGGCCATTTCAGAGGGTAACCAAGAGTCTGCCATTTTGCTGCATTCTAGAGATACATTTAGGGACAGACTAGGTAAAAGGTGGCCTGAAACTATTAGTGAACCTCCTACATCAGGTCCTCATCAGTTGACCATTCACAGATACATCTGTCCATTACAGTATCAGTGGAAATGACCACCTTTCTTCTTCACAAAGTTTTCCTGCCTTTGCAAACAGTCTCCAGTCTGTTTGGGTCATTCCTCTACAATAGAGCAAAGAATGGTGATAGAGATCTGAAACAAAAACTGAAATTGCTTGTGAAACTCAGTAGGTGTGACAGCATATATGGAGAGAAAACAGAGTTAACGTCTCCAAGTCCAGTGACTCCATCAGAATGGAAAGCAGCGAGAGAAAAGTGATATTTATGCTGAAGATGGGGTTGGGTGAGGGGAACGGTGAGGAAGAAGTGAATATATAGGCAGAAATGGAGCTCAGAGAGATATGAAAGAGATAATAAATGAGGGGCTTATTGATAGTGGGCCAGGACAGAAGTGAAGCTGACTAAGTGATAATAAGAGCTGTGAGTAGGAGAGAATGTGTTGACTGCACTGAAAGTGACCTGTATAAATGATAGGACCAGTGTGTGGTGAGTGAGTTAAAAAACACAGGTACTGAATCAGGCCGTAAAGTTATCCAACTTCACGTTCAGTTCTAGACACTGCAGGCTTCCCAAGAAGAAAATGAAATGCTACATCTTCATAGGGTTTTCTCTGGGTCACTGCACTTGAAACATTAACTCTGCTCTCTCCCCACAGATGCTGCCAGATCTGCTTGGTTGCACCAGCAATTTCTGTTTTTGGCTCATTCCTGTTGTGGGTGCGTGCAAAATTATGGATGACTGTTCACAAATTAAAGGTTGCCCTTCAAGCAGAGGGGTAGGAAGAAATTTATTCTCTCAGACGATTGTGGCACCTTAACTCTGCCTCAGAAGAGGATGGAGGCAGTATCATTGAATATTTTTAAGGCTGAGATAAATAGATTATTTTCAGACAGGGGAATCAAAGATCATCTGGGACCAAGGGAGTAATAGGATGGGAATGTGGAATTCAAAACACAAACAGGTCAGCTACAATCTTAGAGAACAGTGAAAAAGGCTTGAGGGCCTGAATAGCCTATTTCTGCTTCTAATTTCTATCTTCGTGTATAAAGAAACACTTGCAAAATGCATGGACCATGTTACTATTCTAGTAATAAAGATCTGTGCTCCTGAATTATCCCTAGTTAACTGTTCCAATATAGTTACAACACTGGCATCTGTACGAAGCTCCTGCTGCTTAAGACCTTGCCACAGATCTGCTATCATGGTGTGTCATGCTCGTCTGTCTTGTACCATATCCTCTCATGTTGTAAACATACCCTTCATCTTCATGAAATTATTTCTGGCTATCACTTCTTCCAATGTTTGCATCACATCTGTCATCTTTCAATATCCATGTTTGCAAGTGACACGAGGCTGGGTGTGAGGGTGAGCTGTGAGGAGGATGCAGAGATGTTTCAGTGTGATTTGGAGAACTTGAGTGAGTGGGCAAGTGAATGCAGAGGAGGTATAATGTGGATCAATGTGAGATTATCCACTTTGGAAGCAAAAACAGAAAGCCAGATAATAATTGGATTGGCCCAAGATTGGAAAAAAGGAAAGGTGTAATGTGACCTGGGTTTCTTTGTACACCAGTCACTGAAAATAAGTGTGCAGTGCAGCAGAGGTTAAAGAAGGTAAATGGTATGCTGGCCTTCATACCGATAGGATTCAAGTACAGGAGCAGAGACGTCTGCAATTGTACTGGTCCTTGGTGAGACCACACCAGGAGTATTGTGTGCAGTTTTAGTCTCCTTGAGGAAGGATGTCCTAGAAGGATTGCAATAAAAGGTTAGCAGACTGATTTGTGGGACGGCAGGACTAATGTACAAATAGAAACTGAATCGGTTACAACTGTATTCACTGGGATTTATTAAAGTGTTGGGGCGTGGGGGGGAAGTCTCAGAAACCTATGAAATTCTAATGGGGCTAGACAAGGTAAACACAGGGAGTTGTTTACGGGGAGTCCAGGACCAGGGGGTCATAGTCCAACGATACAATGTAAGACTGAGATGAGGAGAAATGTCTTCATCCCGAGTGTGGTGAACCAGTGGAATTCTCTACCATAAAGCAATTGAATCCAAAGCATGGGTTTTCAAAAAGGAGATGAAGGACTGCAGCTGCCAGAGATCTGAAACAAAAACAAAAATTGCTGTTGAAACTCAGAAAGTCTGGCAGCATCTGTGGAGAAAAAGCACAGATAATGTTTCAAGTTCAGTGGCTGTTCATCAGGACTGTTGATAGGTAGGACAAAGTGGTGATTATGCTGAAGTCAAAGTGGGGAGGGAGGTGAGGCAGAGCACCAGAGTGCACATGTGTGTGTGCTTGCAAGAGAGAAAGGAGCGAGTTTTGAAAGATAGACACAGCACATGAGCGAGCGAGAGATTTGAAAGGAGCAATAAACAATGAGATTATGGAGAGCAGGCCAGAATAGAAGAAAAGCGCAATTAGTTATAGCAAGAGCTAGGAGTGAGAAAGTAGCTTAGTTGTGCTGAATGTAATACATATAATGTGATAATGGGCCTAGGAGTACATGGGAATGCATGATACTGCAAAAAGCAACCCATGTCATAACAGGACCTGGGTGTGGGGCAGGTAAAAAAAAAATGGAAGGAGAAATTCAGGCTCTAAAGTTATCAAACTCGATGTGGAGCCCGAGAGCACAAGCTCAAAGAACAACAGCTCATTTTCCACTTGAGGACCCTGCAGCCTCTCGCACTAGAATCATACAGTACAGAAGAGGCCCTTCAGCCCATCAAGTCTGAACTGCCAAAAGATACTACGATCAACACTAGTTCCAATGATACTTCAAGTACTCACCCAAGCACTTTTTAAAGGTTGAGAGATTTCCTGCCTCAGTTATCTTCTCAGGCACTCTGGGTGAAATTTTTTTTTCTCAAAGCCCATCTAAATCTCCTGTCTTTCACTCACTCTCTTGCTGTCTGCTTCACTCACTGTCCCTCTGCTTGATTCGGTGTCCTCCTTGTCTGACTCTCAAGCTCTCTGCTTAATTTGGCGAATGGCTGTCTCACAGTTCATTGAGCGTAGTATTAAGGAGCCTGACCAAAACAGCAAATTGAATCACTCATCTCCTTCCATCACATAGAAACTTTGCCTCTGATAGCCCTAAGGAGAATGTGTTTGGGCGTCCCACCTCCGTAGGCAGACCCAACAGTGATGGAACGCTCCAGGTGGAAATGCAGCCTGACTAACTCCGCTTTCCAAAACATTAAGATCGCTACCAGTTGTGAGTTGAAAATCTGAGCCTGTCTCTGGGCCATGACTCCAGGCCTCTGTGTTCCTCGTTCAGTCACCATAATTCCAATATGACCAAGCCATACACAGGATAAAGGGGTGATTGAATCAAAGTGGTTAAAATGATTAAAAGGAGTTTATGGGGTTAATTTAAGAGAAACTTTTTCTAATGATGGTGGGTAGAGAACAGAACAATGAAGCAGAACCCGAAAACTTGAGACAGATTGTTCAGGGATGAAAACTGGAAGTACATCTTCTCAGAAAGGGAAACCCACTACCTAAAAGCTATTGATGTGGAGGTGCTGGTGTTGGACTGGGGTGGACAATGTCAGAAATCACACGACACCAGGTTATAGTCCAACAGGTTATTGAAAGCTATTGAAGCAGGAAATCCAGTTAAAATTTCAAAAACTGAGACTGATAGACCCCATGCACAACAAGGACCTAAGGGTTACAAGATAAAAAATATGGAAAGGGGAAGGGCTGAATAGCCCCTTCCTCTTTCGATAACAGTCTTGAGAAGGAGCTGAATGGGCCTCTTCCTGTTCCTCAGTGACAAGCTGATGGGTTGAATGGCCTCCAGCTGTGCCTGTGTCACAGGCTCAATAAAAAGCTGAATCACCTCCTCCTGTTCCTGTGTAACAAATTTAAGGGGCTGAATGGCCTCCCTGTTATTTCTCTGTTCTTTCCTATAATGCCTGCACTATTTACAAGTTCTTCTCCCACATCCAAACTACAGTGGAACGTCTGTGCATTATTCATCCTTATAAATCACTGTTTTTCAGGATGTTACAGTCTGTCATTCCCCAGCAATAACTGCTGAAACTGAGCCATGCCTCGTACACCACACAGGAAATCCAAAACACTTTTACCACTGGGAAAGGAGAGCATCCGTCCCTTTCTAAAGGTTGGTGAGCTACTGCCAGCTGAGAGAATAATGTTATGGCAATAATTGACTAAAATGATCCGTGATTGGATTCTGTATATTTCTGGATATATATTCAAGTAAGATAGAAAAGGAAATAAACTGGAGGGTTGGCCAGATAAATTAAGGGGAATACTACGGGGATGGAGAGACCGGATGCCCGGAAGAGATCAAGGACAGAATCTATCTGAAGAAACATTAGAGGTATCATGAGACTGCTGGGTGTCTAAAAACCCTCTTCCTCAAAAGGAAGTGGAAGTAACGTCTTTGAATATTTTGAAGGCAGAAACAGATAGATTATTGATACGCAAGGGACTTATTGGGGTGAGGTGGGAAAATGTAGTAATCAGATCAGCCACGAGTTTAGGCAGGCTCAGGGCATTGAATGGACAACTACTGCTCCGATTTCAAATGTTTGCATTCAGTGGGTCATCAATGAAAGAGAGAGAGAGAACAAAAAAATCTGTAGGAAAATTACAAATGCTATAGGTGTGTTAAAATTACAGTCTTCAACTATCCAAATTATTGGCACCGCTCAAAGAGGGGCAGGATATTTAAGACAGATATTTAAGACCATAAGACAGAGAAGCAGAATTAGGCCATTTAGCCATCGACTCTGCTTCACCATTTGATCAAGACTGATATGTTTCTCAGCCCCATGTTCCTGCCTTCTCCCCGTGACCCTTGAATCCCCTAAACAATTAAGAACCTATCTCTGAGTTAAAGACACTCAATGACTTGGCCTCCACAGCCCTCTGTGGCAATGAGTTCAACAGATTCACCACCCTCTGGCTGAAGAAATTCCTCCTCATCTCAGTTCTAAAGGGCTACTAGGAGTGACATCATCTCCCTGTCCACTTTATCTGTAGCACTCTTTAAGAGCTCTGGATAATTTTCCTTCTTTTGGATTAACAAGGACAAACTGCTGTGGACTGAGGTGAATGAATTGTCAAGAAGGGATTTTTAAAAAAAAGTCTTCTTCATTTTGTGGGATGTGAACATTGCTGGATTGCCAGTATTCATTGCCCATCCCTAGTTGGTGGTGAGCTGCCTTCTTGAACCACTGCAGTCAGCCTGCTGTGGGTTGACCCACAATGCCATTAGGGAGGGAATTCCACGATTCTGACTCAGCGACAGTGAAGGAATAGCGATATTTTCCAAGTCAGGATGGTGAGTGGCTTGGAGGGGAATTTGAAGTTGGTGGTTTTCCCATATATCTGCTGCCGTTGTTCTTCTCGATGGATGTGATTGTGGGTTTGGAGGGTGCTGTCTGAGGATCTTTGGTGAATTTCTGCAGTGCAGCGTCTAATTAGCACATATTGCTGCTACTGAGCATCGGTGGTGGAGGGAGTGGGATGTTTGTGGATGTGGTGCCAATCAAGTGGGGGCTGCTTTGTCCTGGATGGTGTCGAGTTTCTTGAGTGTTGTTGGAGCTGCACCCATCCAGGGGCAAGTGGGGAGTATTCCATCACACTCCTGACTTGTGCCTTGTAGATGGTGGGACAGGTTTGCAGAGTCAGGAAGTGAATCACTTGCTGCAGTATTCCTAGTTTCTGACCTGCTCTTGTAGCCACTGTGTTTAGGTGGTGAGTCCAGTTAAGTTTCTGCTCAATGATAACCGCCAGGATTTTGATAGTGAGTGATTCAATGATGGTAACACCATTGAATGTCAGGGGGCAGTGGTTAAATTGTCTCTCATTCGTGATGGTCATAGTATGGTATTTGTGTGGCGTGATTGTTACTTGCCATTTGTCAGCCCAAGCCTGGATATTGTCCAGATCTTGTCGCATTTGAACGTGGACTGCTTCAGTACCTGAGGAGTCGCGAATGGTGCTGAACATTGCACAATCATCGGCGAACATCCCCACCTCTGACCTTATGGAGGAGGGAAGGTCATTGATAAAGCAGCAGAAGATGGTTGGGCTGTGAACCATGAGGAACTCCTGCAGAGATGTCCTGGAGCTGAGATGACCGACCTCCAACAGCCAGGACCATCTTCCAATGTGTCACGTAGGATTCCAACCACCAGAGAGTTTGCCCCAGATAACCCACTGATTCCAGTTGTGCCAGGACTCCTTGATGTCACACTCGGTCGAATGCAGCCTTGATGTCAAGGGCTGTCACTCTCACCTCACCTCTGGAATTCAGCTCTTTTGTCCATGTTTGAACCAATGCTGTAGTGAGGTCAGGAGCTGAGTGGCCCTTACGGAACCCAAACTGGGCGTCACTGAGCAGGTTATTGCTGAGCAGGTGCTGTTCGATAGCATTGGTGTTGACACCTTCCATCACTTTACTGATGATCAAGAGGAGACTGATGGGGCGGTAATTGGCCGGGCTGGATTTGTACTGCTTTTTGTGTACAGGACATACCTGGACAATTTTTGGGTAGATATCAGTGTTGTAACTGTACTGGAAGAGCTTGGCTAGGGGAGTGGCAAGTTTTGGAACACAAGCCTTCAGTACTATTGCTGGAATGTTGTCAGGGCCATAGCCTTTGCAGTACCAATGTCTCTAACCGTTTCTTGATATCGCATGGAGTGAATCGAATTGGCTGAAGACTGATATCTGTAATGTTGAGGACCACTGGAGGAGGCCAAGTTGAATCAACCACTCGGCACTTCTGGCTGAAGGTTGCTGTGAAAGCTTCAGCCTTATCTTTTGCCCTGATGTGCTGGGCTCTTCCATCATTGAGGACAGGGATATTTGTGGAGTGTCCTCCTCCAATGAGTTGTTTAATCGTCCACTCATTCACAACTGGATGTGGCAGGACTGCAGAGCTTAGATCTGATCCGTTGGTTGTGGGATCGCTTAGCGCTGTCTGTCACTTGCTGCTTATGCTGTTTGGCGCGCAAGTAGTTCCATTTGGTGGCTTCAACAGGTTGATACCTCATCTTCAGGTGTGCTTGGTGCTGCTCCTGGCACACCCTCCTGCACTCTCCATTGAAGCAGGATTGATCCCCTGGCTGATAGCAATGGTTGAGTGGGGGATATGCCAGGCCAAGAGGTTACAGATTGTGCTGGAGTACAATTCCGCTGCTGTTGATGGCCCATAGTGCCTCATGGATGCCCATTCTTGACTTGCTAGGTCTGATCAAAGTCTGTCCCATTTAGCATGGTGATAGTGCCACACAACACGATGGACATTGTTCTGAATATGAAGGCGCGACTTTGTCTCCACAAGGACTGTGCAATGGTCACTCTTACCGATACTGTCATGGACAGATGCATGTGCAGCTGGCAGACTGGTAAGGATGAGGTCAAGTATGTTTTTCCCTCTTGTTGGTTCCCAGACCACCTGCCGCAGACCCAGTCCAGCAGCTATGCCCATTTGGACCTGATCAGCATGATCTGTAGTACTGCTGCCGAGCCACTCTTGGTGCTGGACATTGAAATCCCCCACCCAGAGTACATTTTGTACCCTTGCCATCCTCAGCACTTCCTCTAAGTGTTATTCAACACGGATAAGTATTGATTTATCAACTGAGGGAGGACGTTGTGTGGTAATCAGCAGGAGGTTTTCTTGCCCATGTTTAACCTGAAGCCACAAGACTTCATGGGGTCCGGAGTCAATGTTGAGCACTCCCAGAGCAACTCCCTCCCAAATGTATACCACTGTGCCGCTACCTCTGCTGGGTCTGTCCTGCTGGTGGGACAGGACGTATCCAAGGATGGTGATGGTGGTGTTTGTAAGGTATGATTCCGTTGAGTATGACTATATCAAGTTGTTACTTGACGCGTCTGCAGGATAGTTCTCCCAATTTTGGTACTAGCCCCCAAATGTTATTGAGGAGGACTTTGCAGGGTCAACAGGGCTGTTTCTGTTGTTATCTTTTCTGGTGCCTAGCTTGATCCATCCGGTTTAATTTCTTTGAGACTTTGTAGCGTTTGGTACAACTAAATGGCTTGCTAGGCCCATTCAGAGGGCAACTGAGAGTCAACCACATTGCTGTGGGTCTGGAGTCACATGTGGGCCAGACCAGATGGGTTTTTCCAACAATGGATAATGATTTCATCGTGATCAGTAGATTCTTAATTCCAGGTTTTTTTTTATTGAATTCTGCCATGGCGGGATTCGAACCCAGGTCCCCAGAACATTAGCTGAGTTTCTAGATTAATACTCGAGCGATAATACCACTTAGATATTGCCTACACCACACAATGTTTAGAGATCAATGATTAGCATGGGGCGAGGCAGTGGAATAGTGGTAATGTTACTGGACAAAGAATCTAGCGACCCAAATGTGACACCGGGGTGTTTTTGGGAGATGGGTTTGAGTGCTACCATGAGAGCTCATGCAATTTGAATTGAATAAAAGTATGAAATTAGGATGAGGAAGTCTAATGGTAACCATTGTCACCTGCTTTGAAACCTGATGCCCTGCACTCAAACCCATCACCGCAAACCACCATTCCAACCTACAACCTATAACAATTCCCTGTTTTTTTGGCATTAAGCCAACTTCGTGCCAACTCATTCCAATTAATGGCCCCACGTACCATCTTTGCCCTTTACCAACTATGCCAACCCACCATACCTATCAAGGGTAGAATTTGAATTCAACAACTAATGAATACTATGAAACCATTGTTGATTGTTGGAAATTGCCAAGCTTACCTGGTCTGATCTACAGGTGACTCCAAATCAACAGTAATGTGGCTGAATCTTACCTGTCCAATTAGGGTTGCCTGGCCAGTGATGCCCACATCCCATGAATGAATTAAGAAGACACACACTGAAATTCACAGTCACATATCAAAAAGACCAACACCTCTTGCAGCTGTCAATCAGATTTTGAGATGGAAAGCACTTCATATTGTTTTTGTAAGATTTCATTGCTAGTGACATTGTGCTAATACAGTAATGAGAATCCTCAGGCTAATATTAACAGACAGAGTGAAATAAAAATCACACATGTTCATTTAAAGATTAAAAACACCTGGAGTTTCAAATATCTAGCCAGGTCCCTTTGAAAGCTTCAATAAGTTTACATACCTTCCACACACAACCATATCTACATTCTTCACTCCCAAAAGCCACACGTTCTATTCCAAATGTGCACTCTGCCACTCCTAAAGGATACCTTGCCTCCAAAGGGCACCTTGCCTCCAAAGGGCAGCCCGATTTCTTCTTGATAGGTGTCCCAAGACCAGGTCCAAAGTGGCAACTTACCTTTCCACAGGGTGAGTTCATACATAAGGTCCCAAACCCGGTTTCATCTGCACACTTGAAGTTTTAGGTATTTATGTCAAGAAAAACAAACTGGAGTGGAAGCAGCTGATATTTCAATGGGCATTGCCTCCATAAACCATGAGTGCGCAGATTGATGACTCGACTCTATCCCGCACCTTCAAGATGGGGAAGTTGTGTTTGGGTAGAGGAGGGCCTGAGGATTACCATGTCAGAAATACTGTTTGCCTCAGCAAAAATCTGGGCCTTGATTTTATAAATAGGATCTCTCTCATTGATCAGAAGTCATTTACGTATACAAGGAATATCAAAATTAGAGCCCCCTAAATCCTCTGTTTCACGTGCAATCATGAGATGTAAATTCAGACTGCTGTATTCCTAGTTCAGTAACATAGCCATTACATTGCAAATCCCAAATATAAAATTGATGGTGACCTGGTCAAGGTGTTTAAGGTACTTCAAGGAGTTCATAGTTTCTCCCTATCAATGCTATTTGCTTACATGGGGAGACTCGAGACAAATGGGGGAGATTCTTGAAATTAGAGCCAGGCAATTTGGAATTGATGTCGGGAACCACTTCATTCCACAAAGAGCAGAGGAAATCTGAAACTCTGTCCCTAAAACAAAACTGCTCAGTTTGGGGTTCAGTTGAAAATGTCAAAAAAGAGGTTGAAGAAGTTTATTGGCCAATGGTTTTAAAACATACCAAAGGAAGTCAAGTAGTTGGAGGTAAAATCAATAGGAGTTATAATTCAATCAAATGGAAAGGCAGGTTGTCTGGCCTCCACCCGTTCCCGTGCAACAGGCTGGAGAAGGGGCTGAATGGCCTCATCGTATTTGTGTATAACATTACTATTTTCATTAGATTTTATGATTGCTCTCCACTCCAGGGGAATGATGAAAATCCACCAACCACTGCAGTTTTGGACAAAAGGCCTCACCCTGAGAGAAGGAGACCTCTCACTGAATGGAATCGCTCAACCAGCACAGGTAAAGTGCCAGCAGTAGCCCCGGGCAAGGTTACAGTGAACAGTGACGAAGACAGAGTCAAAGAATTCACATTCAACTTACAGAGTAATGGCATCGAGCATGTGGCAAAAGGGAAACCCAATGAAAGTGTTTATTCCGTTCTCATGTCTTCTGTGGTTTTCAAGAAAGAACAAGAGAAAAGTGAGGGCAAGACATTCCATTTAATCGGGAAAAGGGGATTAATGGGTGCCATCAATCTAGGAATGCCGTGTAAATGTCTGCCAGAGAAGACCCATTTCGAAGTGATATTTTACCGGGTTAAAGGTGAGGTGTGCTATCGGGATGAGGACTCTTCAGGCAAGCAGTGTGTTGTATTCCATGTCAAGAGCACTGGAAAGACAGGAGGCGATCTTCATACAGGTTCAAAACTTATCACCAACTGTGGGTCCCTGCGAAAAGACGGACATGACATGTGCGTTTATGCTTTTGAAGGTGAGACCATTCGAGAGGCTCTGTGCAAGGACGGGAGGTTCTTGCCCATCATTAAGCAGAATGTATGGAGCCTGGTCGAAGGGCACAGATGTCTGCAGTTCACCCTCACTGTCAATGACCTCCGTGATAAATGTTTTGAAGTTCAAGTGAGCAATGAAAAGTATAAGGCAGGAAACAAGAATGATGATAATAATGACAATGCTAGCCCCAGGGAGAGACAGGAGCAGGACAGTGTGCCAGGAGAAAGGAATATGCTGCATTGTGAGCTGAGAAAGCAGGTTGATGAACGTTTGGGAAAGAAAAAAGGCAAGAAGCATTTCTGTAAAGAATGGAATCTGCTCAAGAAAGAATTTGGGAAGATCGCAGCTGATGGAGTTCCCATTACAGTCCATGAAATGCTAGTGCGATTGAGTGAGTCTGTTGGATTTGTCCAATGGGATAACAATGGGAATCAAGGGACTGCCTCTTGCTTCTACCTTGGTAATAGTTACATTCTGACATGTTTCCACGTGGTGAAGATGATGGTAGGAGATGGTGTGCCTGACAATGAGTGGAAGACCATTATAGAGAAGGCCATGACAATAAACTTTAGCTACAAAGAGAAGCAGCAGCCTGTCAATGGCTGGTATAACATTGAACCGTGGTTTGAAGTGTCTAACTCAGAACTTGACTACGCAGTGCTGAGATTGAAGATCCCCAACGGTCAGCCATCTGTTCTACCTTCAGGTTTGTGGCAAACTAAAAACTGCCCTCCTTGGAATGGAATGGTCTACATTATAGGTCATCCTGATGGTGTTTGCAAATCCTCTGACACTTGTTTCGTTATCCCTATTCAACAGCGAAATATTCAATACTACATGCAGGTTTTCAGGAGATACACTTTCACAGAAATCCAAAGTTCAGACAGGATCACCTACAACAGCTGCTTTTTTAATGGTGCCTCCGGATCCCCTGTGTTCAATTCCTCTGGTGAGCTGGTGGGAATGCATGCTGCAGGATATGAATATAAAACTGGCAATCAGAGAAACAGCGTGATCGAATATGGTCCAACCATTAAAGCCATCACAGATCACATGAAGATTCATCATCCAGGATTCGATTTCACTGGTCAAGTTCACACCCAGGATGACCAGAACATCCTGTTCGATGACCAAGGAGAGGTTCCAATGGATATCGAGTAAAAGAATGCAGAAAATGAGTTTAAAAAGCAGTTATTGTCATATTCTCATTCTTGTTGCATCTGTTCCTCTCTTGCGTCAAATTCAACGTTGTTCTAAAAATTCAGCCAGTAACTCTCCACCACATTGCACCCCTTCGTAAACTTGTTATTATTCCAACATGTAGCCATTTCCCTGTACTCATAACCAATACTTACGTCTGATCTTCTAAAATCTTAATTTTAAATTCATCAACTGCACTTTTAAATTCCTCTGTGAGCTGAGAAAGCAGGTTGATGGCCTCTTCTCTCCCATTTCCAGACACACATCCAGCCCTATAACCTTTTGGGAATTTACATTCCTCAAATTCCAGCAATTGCACAGCTGCCACTGCTGTTCATTGCTCTGCAATTCCGTGACATGCCTCAAGTTCTCGAACCTCTCTATTCTTTTCTGTCTTTCCACATATCCGCATGGAAAATAGGAACAGCAGTAGGCCATTCAGCCCTTCAAGCCTGCTCTGTCATTCACTGTAACCACGGTTGATTATGCAACTCAGTATCCTGTTCCCTGCATTGTCCCCATACTCTTGATCCCTTAGGCCCCAAAAAGTATATCTAACTCCTTCTTGAACAGAGTCAGTGTTTTAGCCTCAACCACGTTCTGTGCAGAGAATTCCAGAAGCTCACCATTCTCTGGATGAACAAATTTCTCCTCATGTCAGTCCTGAATGGCCTACACTGTATCCTTAACTGTGACCCCTGGTTCTGCGCTTCCTTGTTGCCAGGAACATCCTTCTGGAGTTAATCCTGTTAGTGTTTTATAGGTTTCTGTGAGATCTCCCCTCATTGTTCTAAACTACAGTGAATATAGTCTTAACCAAACCAGTCTCCCTTCATTTGTATGTCCTGTCATCCAGGAATAAGTCTGATAAACATTCTCTATTTTCCAAACAATGCCCCTCTTTGTTTCCTATTTTAAATCTGCCCTTCCAAACTTTAATGTGCTGCTTCATCCATAGTTCTCTGACCAGGCTTTTGGTCATCCACAGTTAAAACATGAAGCTATTTAGCCCATCAAGACTGTGCCAGCTCTCTGCGGAGTGATCCAGACGTCCTATTCCCCTTCTTCCATCCACGTAGATCTGGAAGTTTATTTTCCTCAAGTGCCTTTCCAACATCTCTTTTAAAAATCACTGATCACTTCCACTCCACTGTCCTCACAAACTGCAGATACCAGGTCAGTAAAAAAGTAAAGTCAAAGTTACCACAGTCCCAAAGGACCATAGGGCTACTCTCTCAATCAGAGAGAGAGATGATTGGTGGTGGTTTAACTCGGTCAGTACTACTCACATGTTCGCCACTCGTTTTAAAAAAAATGGTTTCTTCACCTACTTCAGACATCTCGATCCAATAAACTTATTGTGTCCCCTAATGAACAGCTTTTCTTCGTCAATCTTATCCAAACCTGTCAGAATCTTTATACCTCTATCATATAACCCCTCAAGTTGACTTTAGTGACTAGGAATACTGAAGCGAGTTACTTACTGCCTGACTCCCCAGTGCCTGCCCACTACCACAAAGCACAACTCAGGTGTGTTTCTTTATTCTTTATTCATTCATGGGATGAGGACGTTGCTGGCAAGGGCAGCATTTATTGACTTTCCCTAATTGCCCAGAGGGCAGTTCAGAGTCAGCCACATTGCTGTGGGTCTGGAGTCACATGCAGGCCCAGACCAGGTAAGGACAGCAGTTTCCTTCCCTAAAGAACATTAGTGAACCAGGTGGGTTTTTCCAACAATCGACAATGGATTCATAGTCATCATTAGATTCTTAATTCCAGATACTTATTGAATTTAAATTCCACCATCTGCTGTGGCAGGATTCAAACTCGGGTCCCTAGAATGTTATCCGGGTCTCTGGATTAACAGTCCAGCAATAATACTACTAGGCCATTGCCTCCCCCTAATGTGTGGTGGTATACTCTCCACTTGCCTGGATTAGTGTAACTCAACAGCACGAAAGAACCAGCTGGGAGAAAACAGCCTGCTTGATTGGCATCACATCCACAAATGTTCACTCCCTCCATCACCAACACTTAGTAGTAGTGTGTAGCATCTACAAGTTGCACTGCAGAACTTCAACAAGGCTCCTCAGCACCTTCCAAATCCAAGGCCACTTCCATCTAAAAGGGCAAGGTACATGGGAACACCACTCCTGCAAGATCCCCTCTACATTATACACCATGCCAACTTGGAAGTACATTGCCATTCCTTCACTATCACTGGGTCAAAATCCTGAAACTTCAACGCTAACAGCACTAAGGCTGTACCATCACCAGTTTAACTGCAGCAGTTCATGACAACAGCTAGCTCATCATCTTCAAGGACAATCAGAGACGGATAACAAATTCTGGCCTTATCAGTGATGCCTACGGTCCTGGAAAAATGCTTCACTAAGTAATGGTTCACTCTACCTTGCCATTTTCAAAGAAAGTTCTAGAAATGATACCTTATATTGTACTATCCAAATCATATATAAAGCAGTGGTTCTAGAACTGACCCTTGAGAAAGAAGACTTTCTATCATCCTGCAGTCTGCAAAACAAATGTTTACCACGACCCACTGTCTTCTGTTTTTAAAGCAACCTTTATCCGAGCTGATATTGAACCACCTAATCCATCTTAACGAGCCTGCTTGTGAAAAGCTTTCATAAAATCCATACAGGTAGCATCCTCCAATACCCTTCACTAACCTCTGTTACTTCATCAAAAAAAAATCAGATTAGTTCTGCTTTTTACAAATCCATGCCTGTTATTCAAACTTCTCCAATCCCCCATTTCTAAAATCATTACCTGTGCTGATGTTAAACCAGCTGGCCTATAGCGAACTATGAATAGTCATTCTTGACTAACTGTAGCAAATTTTCCAATTTCCAACCCTCTGGAATTGCCCTGGATCTTCACTCTCACTTCCCTTACCAACTTGGAATGCAAGCTGTCCAGTCTAGGTGACTTATCCAATAGTCATAGTCAGCCTTTCCAGTACAACCTTCCTCAATTTTCACTACACCCATTAACTCCTCCATCTCCAATATTTGACCAATATTTTGTCAGAATTCTCTCCCATGAACAACATCGTGTAAAGGACTCATTAACCACTGCACCTCTAATCATGTATCACTCTTTTTGTACTCATACCTTTAATTTTTCAAATGGTTTACTGTCAATTATTTTATCTGATAAATACCCCTGTGAAGCACTTTCAGACACTTATGACGACAAAAGAACTATGTAAATGCATGTTATTGCTACCTGATCCCACTCACCTGCACATTTCCCATAGCCTTACAAATCTTTCTCCACTCTGGTGAAAGAAAGAAATCACTTTAAATCTGTACCCTCACAATTTTTGATCCTTAAACCATAGAATCTCTAAGGTGAAGAAGCAGGTCTTTCAGCCCACTGAGTCCAAACTGACGCTCCAAAAAGCATCCCACCCATTCCCACACCCTTATAACCCACAATCCCTGTGGCTAACCCACCTAGCCTGCACATCCCTAGACACTATGGGCAATTTAGCATGGCCACTCCACCTAACCTGCACATCTTTGGACTGTGGGAGGAAACTTATACAGACACAGGGAGAATGTCTGTGCGGAGTTTTCCAGCCTCGGGTGACTGTGCATCGAACCCAGGTCCCTGGTGCTGTGAGGCAGCAGTGCTAACCACTGAACCACTGTGCCACCCTTCTGTCACTGGAAATGACTACTTCTTACCCATTCAGTTTCTTCTTGACCTTCAATATCTGTACAAAACCAACTTCCACCTTGTCTGCTCAAAGAACAATCTGCCAGTCTCTCCACTTGCACTGACATCATACTCTCGAGATTTAAGAACTGTTGTTGTGAAATCATGATGAAGGAATCTAAATTTTTAGAACACAGAGCAGTACAGCACAGTACAGGCCCTTCAGCCCACGATGTTGTGCCAACCTATTATCCTACTAAGATCAAACTACCCTGTATACCCTACATTTTACTATCATCCATGTGCCTATCCAAGAGTCGCTTAAAAGTCTCTGAAGTATCTGACTCCACTACCACTGCCGGCAGCGCATTCTACACACCCACCACTCTCTGTGTAAAGAACCTACCTCTGACATCTCCCCTATACCTTCCTCCAATCACCTTAAAATTATGCCCCCTTGTAATAGCCATCTCCACCCTGAGAAAAAGTCTCTGACTATCCACTCTATCCATGCCTCTCATCATCTTGTACACCTGTATCAAGTCACCTCTTGTCTTTCTTCACTCCAATGAAAAAAGCCCTAGCTCCCTCAACCTTTCCTCATAAGACCTGCCCTCCAGTCCAGGCTGCATCCTGGTAAATCTCCTATGCACCCTCTCCACAGCTTCCACATCTTTCCTATAATGAGGTGACCAGAACTGAACACAATATGCCAAGTGTGGTCTAACCAGAGTTTCATAGAGCTGCAGCGTAACCTCACGGCTCTTAAACTCAATTCCACTGCCAATGAAAGCCAACACACCATAATTCTTCTTTACAACCCTATCAACTTGTGTAGCAACTTTGAGGGATCAATGGACGTGGACCCCAAGATCCCTCTGTTCCTCCACACTGCCGAGATTCCTGCCATTAACCCTGTATTCTGCATTCAAAAATGAATCACTTCACACTTTTCCGGGTTGAATTCCATCTGCCACTTCTTTGCCCAACTCTGCATCCTGTCAATGTTCCGCTGCAACCTACAACAGCCCTTCACACCGTCCACAACTCCACCAACCTTCGTGTCATCAGCAAACTTACTAACCCACCCTTCCACTTCCTCATCAAAATAATTTATAAAGATCACAAAGAGCAGAGGTCCCAGAACAGATCCCTGCGGAACACCACTGGTCACCGAGCTCTAGGCTGAGTACTTTCCATCTATCACCACCCTCTGTCTTCTATTGGACAGCTAGTTTAGTATCCAGACAGCCCAATTTCTCTGAATCCCATGCCTCCTTACTCTCTGAATGAGCCTACCATGTGGAACCTTATCAAATGCCTTGCTAAAATCCATATACACCACATCCATTGCCTTCATCAATGTGTTTTGTCACATCCTCAAAGGCTTGCGAGGCATGACCTGCCCCACACAAAACCATGCTGACTAATTCTAATCAAACTGTGCTTTTTCAAATAATCATAAATACTACCTCTCAGAATCCTCTCCAATAATTTGCCCACCACAGAAGTAAGACTGACCGGTCTGTAATTCCCAGGATTATCCCAATTCCCTTTCTTGAACAAGGGAATGACGTTTGCCACCCTCCAATCATCTGATACTACTCCAGTGGATAGTGAGGACGCAAAGATCATTGCCAAAGGGGCAGCAATTCTTCCGTCACTTCCCAAAGTAAGCTTGGGTATATCCCATCTGGCCCAGGGGACTTATCTATCCTCATGTTTTTCAAAATTTCTAGCACATCCTCCTTCCTGATATCAACCTATTCGAGCATATCTGCCTATTTCATGCTGTCCTCACAAACGTCGAGGTCCCTCTCACTGGTGAATACTGAAGCAAAGTATTCATTAAGGACCTCCCCTAACTGCTTTGACTCCGCGCACAAGTTCCCTGCACTATCCCTGATTGGCCCTACCCTCACTCTGGCCATCCTCTTGTTCCTCACATAAGCACAGTACGCCTTGGGGTTTTCCTTGATCCTATCCACCAAGGTTTTCTCATATCCCCTTCTAGCTCTTCTAAGTCCATTTTTCAGTTCCTTCCTGGCTACCTTGTAGACTTCTTGATCCCTGTCCGATCCTTGCTTCCTCAACCTTAAGTAAGCTTCCTTCTTCCCCTTGACTAGGTGTTCCACGTTTTGTCATCCAAGGTTCCTTCACCTTACCATCCTTTCCTTGCCTCAGTGGGACAAACCTATCCAGTACTTGTAGCAACTGCTCCCTCAACAACCTCCACATTTCTGTCGTGCATTTCCCTGAGAACATCTATTCCCAATTTATGCTCCGCAGTTCTTGCCTATTAGCATTGTAATTTCACTTCCCCCAATTAAGTACTTTCCTATCCCTCTCCATGACCAGAGTAAAGATCAGGGAGTTGTGATCACTATCACCGAAATGCTCTCCCACTGAGAGATGTGACACCTGGCCTGGCCCATTGCCAAGCACCAAATCCAACACGGCCTCCCCTCTAATCGGCCTATCTACATATTGAGTCAGAAATCCTTCCTGGACACACTTGACAAAATCTGTTCCATCCAAACTGAAATATAATTTTGTCAAAGCAGATAATTGTTGATTCAATGATGTCTCACTTCAGAGTAAAGGAGGAACTTTTGTACAGGGGAAATTTTTGCTGAATTGAACCAGTGTTGTATTTATCCTGAGTGTAGATTGGGACAGTGTTGAGGCAGCTTTCCTCTATATCTAAGCCCACTACATCTAAGCTCTTATTACTTTACACTAATTATGATAATTGCTTTGATGCACCTAATAATAAATGCTTATTAATTAATAAATGAACTTGTCTTATTGTAGAGTCTTACACAACCTCAGGTGCTCTACGAATGCTCGACAGTCATAGAATCCCTACAGTGTAGAAGCAGGCCATTC